GGAGAGCTGCGCTATAGACTTACCCCAAGAGGCCTGAGGATAGTAGTGCAGGCTAGGAGAGTTAGCCAGTGGTGCAGGTCGAGGGAAGCAGCGCACATCAAATTTTTTATGTTCACTATTAAAAAGGTTTTGTGGGAGTGATAACCTTAATATGTGTGACGGTTTATTTGTGCATTCATTACAATAAAGTAATTTTTATTTTAAAAAAAGATTCTGTGATTACAGGGAGAGCCTTTCTCAAAAAAACAAACAAACAAAAAAAAAGATTAGAACAGTATGGAAACAAAAGTATATTTGGGGCACGTGAGGTGGCTCAGCATGTAATGGCATGGCATGACATCAAGATCGATCTCCAGAACACATAGTGAAAGGAGAAAGCTGACTGCCAAGGCATACTACACACACACACACACACACACACACACACACACACACTAAATAATGGTTTGGGATATGGAAATACACAAACCAGATAAAGTTAATTCTTTAAAGCAGTTGCATGCTGAAAGGAAAGATGTCAGAAGTATAGAAAGTAAATAAAATGTATGCATGTTAAATCTATGAATGTCTGGACTGCACAGGTTTAAAAGGAGACATTCTGACAGAGATGGAGATATGGAAGGAGAAATGGGAAAAGAAGCATAAGATGAAATAAGGTTTTTCCTCCCTCAAGTTGCTTTTGATCAATGTTTTATTACAGCAATAGAAAGCTGACTGGAACAGAAACTGATACCAGGAATGAGATGAGCCTGAACAAATGGTTTGTGGAAGAAAAGGTGGACGAATTTGGAGCTTTAGGCTGAAAAATCCATTTAGTACTCAAAGATTAATGAAATGTTTCAGGAACTTGGAAGATAAGAATGATGAGAACAACATTGATGATGGAGACCTGGCTTATGAACTTTCAGAAGAAAGAGAATCCTTCAGAGATCTATGGGGGTGTTCAAGTCATACTTTGGATGAATAATCTGTGGTTTCTGGTGATCTGGGGCAGAAGAATAAGATATGATTAACAAGACACTACCAATTGAAATGAAACTTTTGCTTACCGGACAATTGATGCTAGTTTGCTGGGGGCTGAAAAATTAGTTGTGATGAATAAGAAATCAGCATCATTGAAAGGAAATCTACTGTGAAGTATTTCCTCATGGTTAGGAGGCATATGTTGCAGTCCAGTGATAGCCAAGGCTGCATCTCAAGCTTGCAGCTGAGCTTTGATATCTACAAAAATCTCCCACATGGTTCTGTTTTCAAAGGCATGAAAAGATCATGGAAAGCAGCTGAATCTTGGCTAAATTTTGCACAACTGGAGTCCCTAAAGTGGTCAGGAGAGGCTACTGGTGAAGGTTCAACCTCAGCTGCAGTGGAGATCCTGCCATATTAGAGAAGCCAGGATAACGGGATGTCTGCCAAGGACAATGAGAAGTGTGGAGTGGAGCTTGCCTGGGCCTACAAGACATGTTGAATATGTGCTGTGGATGGCAAACCTGAAGAAATGGACTCCAAGTCCTTTGGAGTTCAGCTCATGGATGAGTCCAAGGTAGGCAATAAATGCTTTGTGTTTTGGGTTTTGCTTTAATTCCACTGTAACTCTGCCTCGGTTCTTCTCTCTTGGAGTAAGACAACATGTAATTTACTTTTTATCTTGTATGAGATCGCAATTAAGAGACTTTGGAATTTTAAAGAGAACTTAGAATTTTATATTGATGGAGTCTTTTGAAGACTGTGTTATATTTTATTAACGTGAGATTTTAAGGATAAACAAGAAAGGAAAAGCTGTTGTTTAATAGTGATGTGTATGTGTGGTAAGTAGATTGCGCTGGTTGGTTTTGTCAACTTGACAGGAACTTGAGACACCTGGGAAGAGGGAACATCAATTGAGAAATTTTCTACATCATAATGGGCTGGGGTCATGTCTGTGGGGCATTCTCTTGATTACTAATTGATTTGGGGGGGGAGGACCACTATGGGCAGTGCCATCCTGGGCAGGTAGGTCTCGGATGAATAAGAAAGAAAGCTGAAGAAGCCAGGGGAAAAGTAAACCAGTAAGCATCACTCCTGCTTTGGGAGAACTTTACTCCCAAATAAAGTTCCTGCCTCCAGGTTCTGCTTAGAGTTTCTGCCTTGGCTTTGCTCAATGCTAGGTCATTACCTGGAAGTATAAGATGAAATAAACCCTTTCTTCCCCCAAGTTGGTCTTGATCAGTGTTTTATCACAGGAATAGAAAGCTAAAATAAGCAGCAATGTTGCTCCATTTTACTGAAGGAGAATATTGATTTTATTCCTGAATAAACAGGTGAAACCATTAAAACCTTCTCATTTAATTCATGAATGCATTATTCTAGAGTAAATAAAAGAAGCTAGTTGACAAGAAAACCATTCAATGTTTAAAACAGAGCATGCCATTATATTAAAAACTAGCACTCTTAATTTTAACTGATAGTTCATGCAATGTCAAAAGTTAAAATTTCAGTTACTTAGGAATTAGGGTAAAAAATTCACAGAAGGGACTTCATTAAACAAACAAACAAACATAAAGACATTTGTACAGCAAAGGAAATAACCAGTTATATGAACAAGAAGGTCAAAGAGTGGGAGAAAATCTTCACCAGCTATAAACCTAACAGAGGATTAATATCCAATCCATAATATACAAAGGAAAAAAAATCAAGAAAACAAATTACCCAGTTAAAAAAAGGGGGGGGGGGCTACAGATCTGATCAGAGAGCTCTCAAAAGAAGAAATAAAAATGGCTGAGAAATACTTTAAAAAGTATTTAACATCCTTAATAATTAGGGAATGCAAATTAAAACTCGTTTAAGATTTCATCTTACCCTAGTCAGAATGGATGAAATCAAGAGAACAGATGACCCCAAAAGTTGGCAAGGATGTTGGGAAAGGATAACCCTCATCCACTGCTGGTGGGATTGTAAATGGTGTAACCACAGTGGAAAGCAGTGTGTAGAACTCTTTTGAAAAACTAAACAAAAATCTACCATATGATCCAGTTAGACCATACCTTGGCATATTCCCAAAAGACTCATATCCTACTACAAAGATACTTGCTCAGCCATGTTTCTTGAAGCTCTTTTCACAACAGTTAGGAAATAGAAACAATCTAAAGGTCACTCAATTGATGAATGGACCATGAAAATGTGGTACATTTACACAATGAAGTTCTACTTAGAGATAAAAATGAAATCATGAAATTTGCATGTAAATGAATGAGACTAGAAACTATTAAACAAAGTGAAATAACAGAGTCAGAAAAATAAGAGACATATGTTCTCTCTCATTTGTAATGAATGGGAGCATATATCCTGATGTAACCAAAGAAGTCAGGAAAATGGAAAAGAATCATGGAGGTAAAGTGGGAAAAGGATGTTGAAAGAGGAGGATAGTAGGAGACAGGGGTTATTAAGGGGAAAATGGGGATATTTAGCCTGGGAGGGAATAGAGAATGCTATACAGAGGGAGGGAGGAAGGATAAATAACACTTAGGTGCTATAAAGGTTAGAGGGAAATGTACTAGTTCAAGAGTCTACTGGAAAATACACATACAGTATTTATGAGAGTGCATATGTATACCTGAAGCCTATACAACAAAATTCATACTGTTCCCTGCCAGGGGGTCTCCAGTTCCTTTACCTCAGATCCCTGGACTAGCTTCCTAACCCAGACTAGCTAAATACACTAGCATAGACTCCACTGGCTCCTGATAGGTATGACACAGACCTACTAACCTGACCAGCCTACCTACTACCCTGTCCCACCATCTACCTAGATAAGTCTGCTACCGTGCAAGAACCTGAAACATGCACCAATTTGTTTTCCATACTTGGACAAAAACCAACCAAGCTACATAAACAATATTAACAAAACCAAAATTAAATTAAACAAAAGCAGAGTAGAAGTCCCTATTGGATACATAACCAATAGAGAACATCCATATGCCCAAACAGCAATGCAAAAACACAAACAATATGAAAAAAACAAGAGAATATATCCTCAATAAAACAAACTAGTCCTATGGAAGTGCACTAAAGTGAGAACTATCCTGAGGAATTCAAGGAAGCAGAATCTAAAAGAACAATCATAAACATGATTTAAGAAAGCACAGATAAACAACTCAAAGAGGAAAGGCATAAACATATGATGGAAGCCTAAGAATATACAAATTTGCAGCTCAATGACATATCAAAAAGAATTCATGACTTGAAAAATGAATTCACAAAAAGAGAAATAGTGAAGAAAACCCAAACAGAAATGAGCATGGGATTGAAAAACTCAGTAAACAAATTAGAAACAACAGGAGAAAGCCTCACAAGCAGAATGAATGAAATGGAAAAGAGAATGTCAAGACTGAATGATAAAGTTGAAGATCTATATTTCTTAAAATGTAATATTAAAAAAAAAACCACAGGAACGGAATACTCAGGAAATGTAGGACAACATGGAAAGACCAAATCTATGAATTATAGGCATACAGGAAGAAGATTCTCAGGCCACTGGCATTGAACAGGATTAGAGAGAAAAAAAAAAACAAAAAACAAACAAACAAACAAAAAAAAACTTCCTTAAATTAAGGAAAGAGATACCTATAGAGATGCAAGAAGTATATAGAATACAAATTAGTCATGACCAGAGCAGAAACTCCCCACAGCAAATCATAGTAAAAACATTAATTGTATAGAACAAAAAGAGGATACTGAAAGTTGCTAGAGAAAAACAACAATTTACATATAAAGGAAAACAAATAAAATTACAGCTGACTTTTCAATGCAAACTCTGAAAGGCAGAAGAGCCTGGACTCCAACTCAAAATATTTTATTCAGAAAAACCATTTAACATGGCTGAAGGAGAAAGTAAACCTTTTCATGAATGAATCAGCTGAAAGAATTCATGTTCACCAAACCAGCCTTACAGGAAATACTCAAAGCAATACAAAGGACCAAAGAAAGGAATGAGTATGCCCAAGAGGATACATAAATAAAGCAAAGAAAGGTTTAATAATGGAAACAAAAAAAGAGTCACAAACACGAGGAAATTAAAATGACAGCATTCAATACATCTCTTTAAATAATAACACTAAATATCAATGCCCTGTCAAAAGACGGGGGCTAGTGGAATGGATCAAGAAAGAAAACCTATCTTTTTGTTGTCTTCAAGAAACTTATCTCACCTTTAAGGACAGATACCACTTTAGGGAGGAAAGATAGAAATAAATATTCCAAGCTAAAGGCTTTAGATTGCTTTTCAGGGAGCAAGCAGTTGGTATTGTAATTCTAATATCTGACAAATTAGATGTCAAATAAAAACTAATCAGAAGAAATAACGTGGGTCACTTTATTCTAATCAAAGGAACAATTGATCAAGAAGTTATTACAATCATGAACATATATGCACAAAACTCTTGCAAACCAAATTTCAAAAAATAGTGCTCTAGGACTTTAAAATGGAGATTAACTCCAAATCAGTAACAGTAGGTGACTTTAATACCTCACTATAGTCAATAGACAGGTCAACTGGACAAAGAATAAACAGAGAGACATCCAAATTAACTGACATGCTATATGAAATGGACCTAAAAGATATCTACATAGTATTCCAACCAAGCACCAAAGAATACACTTTCTACTCTGCAGCCCATGCAAGCTTTTTTAAAACAAATCACATTCTGGAACACAAAACAAATTTCAAAAAACACAAAAAAATTGAAATAATTCCATGCAGTCTATGTGAATACAATGTAATAAAACTTATAATCAACAGTAAAAGACTTCTGAGTAACTACATGAACTCATGGAGATTAAACAACACACTCCTGAATGAAGAATGGCTCAAAGAAGAAATTAAGAAAGAAATAAAAGTATTCCTGGAACAAAATCAAAATGAGAACACAATGCAACAAAACCTCTGAGACACCCTAAACTCTCAGGGAGGTTTATAGCTCTTTGTGCCTACATTGAAAAAATCAGAAAGAGTACAGGTAAATGACTTAACATTATAACTCAAGCCTTTGGAAAGGCAAGAACAAACCAAGCCCAAACTTAGTAGATGAGAAGAAATAACAAAACTCATAGCAGAGATTAATGAAATAGAAACAAAAAAAAAAATAATACAAAAACAAACAAGCAAACGAACAAAAAAACAATGAATCTTAGAGCTGGTTCTTTGAAAGGTTAAACAAGGTAAACAAACCCTTAGCCCAGTTAGCCAAAAGAAAGGAAGAGCCAATCCAAATCAACAAAATTAGAGATGAAAGGGGAAACATCACAACAGACAACAAACAAAAAACGCCAGAATATTGTAAGGGAATACTTTAAAAATCAATACTCCAGCTGGGCGTGGTGGCACACACCTGTAGGCCCAGCACTTGGGTGGCAGAGGCAGGTGGATCTCTGTGAGTTCCATGCCAGCCTGGTCTACATAGTGAGTTCCAGGACAGCTGGGGCTACAGGGAGACCCTGCTTCAAAAAGAAATAAATAAATAAATAATACTCCATTAAGTCTGAAAATCTAAAATAAATGAATGGATT